TCTTGTAGCTGCTGAGATATTTAAATCGACTGACCGCCGAGCTCGACTCAGACGGAGGAAAAAGACGCATTCAAAGAGCAAAACAGATAAAAGTGTTAACGTTGGCTTTGCTTTCCCGCAAGTTATTTAAAGACTGACATCGAAAAACAGAGAAAACACTAAAAAAAATACAGAAATATATCAAAATAAAGTGATTTCTAAAACATATCTGGAACTTTTTTCAGACGTTTTTCACTCAAAGCGACAAATTTCAACCCGAGAATCAAATTTGCACAAAATCTCACGACGGATTCGTCTTGTGGCTGCTGAGATGTTTAAATCTGGACCGACCGACCCACCGAGCACGACTCGGACAGGGAGGGAAAAAAAGAGACGTTCAAAGAGCGAAACTCAATATAAAACAGATAAAAGTGTTGAAGACGGACGGAGTGCGAGTCAGAGAGGCTGAGAGACACCGAGACTGAATGAAGGAGAGCCGGCTGTGCTTTGCCAGCACATTATTTGCAGAGCTACAGATTTCCAGGCTGCCTTGTTGGCCTTCCTGCCTGTCTGTCACTCTGTGTGTGTGTGTGTGTGTGTGTGTGTGTGTGTTTGTGTCGGTGTGTGTGTGTGTAAATACACTCGAGACATATTGCATGTGTGTCGGTGTGTTTAGGCGTGTCGACCGCATACACATGTGCATCCGTGCATGTCTGTATTTTTTTGCAGGCTTGAACATTGTCATATATGCTGACGTGTGTGTGTGTGTGTGTGTGTGTGTGTGTGTGTGTGTGTGTGTGTGTGCGCACGCTGGCGGGTTATTTTTACCCTCCATTTAAAATCTGCTTGGGGATGCAGAAGCGCAGGAAGCGAGTGTCGTCTCACTTTTCCTGCTGCCGAGCTTTGTTTCGGCTCCACGGCTCGTCCTGTCCTGCTGCACTGCTGCAACTGTCGGCCATGTTCCTCTCCCATCATGCACCGGGGCGTCCACATGCAGCTCCTTAACACACATTTGTAACCTGATTTAATTAATGGAGGTGCACGGTGCTCCGTCCTGCAGAAATGTGTCACGTTTATATGAATTCCTGTTTCTTTCATCCTGGTGTGTTTCTCCATTTATAGTTATTGTGTTTTACTTTTATAATGTTTTCACTGTAAAGCGCGTCACACAAAGTCTGTTAAATGTGCAGTATGAGATGTTTTATCTTGTTTGTTTCGCCCATATTATAATTTGTCGTTTTTTCTAACGTTGTGGAGTTTTGGTTAAATGAAAAAGTAAAAAGCTCCCAGAAAGTATGAATTATGTTAAAGGTTTGTTTTCAAGTCTGACTGGATGCAGAGTCGCTTCAAACACATTTGAGTTCTGTTGAAGTGCTTCGATCTGGTTTAGATCTGGTTTAAAGTGTTCAAGTCTGGTTTAATGTGTTATGGTCTGGTTTAGATCTGGTTTAAAGTCTTCAAGTCTGGTTTAAAGCTTCCAGGTCTGGATTAAGTCAGGTTTGATGTCCAGGTCTAGTTTAGATGTGGTTTAATGTGTCCAGATGTGGTTTAAAGCTCCCAGATGTGGTGCAAGTCTGGTTTAAAGTGTCTGAGTCTGGTTAACAGTGTTAAAGTCTGGCTTAAAGCTCTCAGGTCTAGTCCAAGTCTGGTTTCAGGTCCAGATCTACTTTAGCTCTGGTTTAATGTGTCATGGTCCGGTTTAAAATGTTCAGGTCTGGTTCAAAGCTTCCAGGTCTGGTTCAAGGCTGGTTTCATGTCCAGGTCTAGTTTAGATCTGGTTTAATGTGTCCAGATATGGTTTAAAGCTTCCAGACCTGGTTTTAGTCCTGTTTGAAGTGTTTTGGTCTGGTTAAGATCTGGTTAACAGTGTTCAAGTCTGGCTTAAAGCTCCCAGGTCTGGTTTAAGTCTGGTTTAAAGCTCCCAGGTCTGGTTCAAGCCTTGTTTAAAGTGTTTCGGTCTGGTTTAGATCTGGCCTAATTTGTCCAGGTCTGGTTTAGATCGTCCTTCACTGCGTTATAAAGCTGCTTAACGGTTCTGGAAACAAATATCCACAGAAAATGCTGCTTCTTCTGGTTTTTAGTTTTCTACATCACCATGCAACGCGTTTGCTGAACAGAACAGAACGGCTAGTTTGGCCTCAAACAAACAATAATTATAATAATAATAATTATTATTATTCTAATTATTCTAATTATTACTATTATTATCTTGATGTTCAGCAATGTGAAAATAAAAATAACATACAGTATAAGAAAATTAAAGTAGTTTTTGAACGTTAAAGCATGTAAACATATTCTATTAGAACCCATAAATACAGATATAAACCTGTAAGTGTGCATCACACGGCCTCTTTAAATCATAAAACCTCCTCTGAGGTTTGTTTTCCATAAAGTTAACTCGATGTTTTTCTGTCAAACTCCTCTTGTTCGTCCTGACAGCTGCGTCTCTTTAATGCCGACCTCCCGCTGGTGAAAATGCAAAAATGCTCCAACAAACACAAGTGTCACAGATCTCTGAGCATCCTCGTCCCTCTGTTCTGCACGTCACCGTTTGTCACTGGATTTTTTTATTTTATTTTTTTAAACTCGGTGCTGCCGATTGACCCGTTGCAGCCGAGCGACCGACGGCGTCGCCGACACCAAACAAAACAGCAAAACAGCATCAGAGCTGTGACAGGCGAAGACAGAGAAGTCGACTTCAGGTGTTTGTTCCTTTCTCAGGAGAACGTTAAAGGTTTCCTCCTGAAAGGTGTCGTTTAGCGTTTGTTCCTCTTGTATCCTCGACTCTGCTCGTGATGCTTCTCTCTGTATAGATGCACAGCGCTGTTTAACGGAAGTCACAATTTAAAATAACACATTTAGACATCCTAAAAAATGATATAATAGAAATAATAATAGAAAATGCTTTTAGTAGTGATCGACTGATGTGGGTTTTACAGGGCCGGTGCAGATGCCAATAACTGACATCTATACATCACATGTAATGTTTTACCAGCATGTGACATCAGAACCAGGTTTCTTCATTAATATGGATGACTGAAACCGAATCTGTAAAACAGAAATAGTCGTCAATAAATGACTTTCTCTGTTAATGTGGGACTGACTGAGGTTAATGAGTTTGTCTGCTGCTGCTGCTCTTTGTTTTCTTATTATTTCACTGTTTTATTTCTATTCTCCACTAAGGTCCAGATCTTAAATCGTTATTAATTATTGTTCTCCAGACTCTGTTTCAGGTTCATCTCTGGCTTTCTGCTAGCTTAGCTGCTAGCCATTAACGTAGCATTAGCTGCAGTGAGAGACGTTTCTGAAACCTCAGGCAGAGAGAGGAAACTGCATCACGCCTCAAGTATGCCATTTATCAATAATAAAAACACTGATAATCAGAAAAATGCCAAATATCTGCCGTGAGAATTGGTCTATCCTTGTTTTTTTAACTAGTTCACCACAGGAGGAAGTGCCAATCTTTTCTCTGAGGCGTTGTGCACTTATTTGTGAGACAGTTCATCTAAACTACAGTTTGTTTCAGAGCAGTTTTATGTGAGATGTTTGTGTTGGATTATCCTGTGGAGTAACTGGAGCAGGTTTTTAAAAATTATTGTTATTTTTATTCGTTGGCAGCAGAACCCCAAAGAGGTGATGTCTGACTGTCGATTCTCTTATAAACTTCCTTTTCTGACACCCACAGTCGATGGCTTTGCATGCTTTTTGCTCAAAACAATGCACAGGTATGGCTGCAAAGACAAATAAACCGTCTGAAATGTCTCGGAGATGCAGGAATAATAAAGGAACAATCAACTCTCTCCACCCTGGAGGTCTCGGTTCTGGGACCAGACTGTGTTCTGTTATTAAAACGCGACCAGACGCGACGTTGCAAAGGTTGCAGCGCTCGGTGCTTTCAATAAAGAGGCCACCTGTGATTAGGATGGACGCAGCATTGTTGGGTCTGTTTTCTGTTGCATTAAATGAAACAGCTGCAATCGGTGTTGGTATGAGGTGTTGTCTGGGATTTTTACCGACAGTAGAAGTGAGTTTGGAGAAGCAGACGGAGAGTTCAGCCCAGCTAATAAAAAAACAAAAAGGTCGGGTTGAATGTACATCATATGTAGAATATTTTCCCTGCCTCACATCACCGTCATGCAGCCGTTTACAGCAGAAGCATTTGGTGTTTTAATCAACCTGTCAAGACGCCAAACGACCCCACCGGAGCCAGCAAGTCCGGTTGTCTGGGAGGCACAATTACTGTTTTTGTCAACTCAAGTCTGGTGGCATTTAAGAAGGTCTTATAATGGCTTCAGTTTACTGCTGGAAAAGGCCGTCTGGTGACAAGATAAAGTGCTCAAAATAGTCTAAATATAGCAAACACTTAACCCTCTGAACTCCAAAACCTGGTTTAAAGGGCACCTTGTCTTAAAAAAAATAAAATCTTCAAAGTTTTATCATTTATCAGAACCAGAAAACAACTGTGACGCTTTGTCAGAAAACTTATCAAACATTTAGGTTTAAATTGTGATATTTCATCAAAATCACTTTATTCTGTGTCTCATTTAAAATTTCACCAAAAACAAACCATCTGCTTCCCCTCGATCCTGTAAAAAACAAGAAATCCTGCATTCTCTGCTATGATTGATTCAGCTGTGATTAAAAGTCATGTGACAGAAATTCAGGAAGTTTTGGATTGAAGCAGGTGTTTACAACAGGGCTGGACCCGAATATCCGAATATTCGGTCGCTGTGGTGATATCCGGATCACAATTTTGATATTCGCAGAGACAGAACTGCAGCCATGGTTCTCCAGTGTTAGCAGCACCTGTGGACACTTGATTCAAGGTTTTTTTTTTCTTATTTTTGTGAAATAAATAATCAAGGAAGTTAATCTTTGTTTTTGTCTTTTTTATGGTTCATGGCACTAAAACAGTGTCATGGCGAAGCGCCTCATCCAAGCCCGGTTTAAAAAGTCCAAACTGACCCTTTAAGCTGTTCAGCACCAAGCATCACTGCTCTAAACCTCCGTCTCCTCCTCAGGTACATCCACGCCCTCTACCTGGGCGCTCAGAGCCGATGGCACGGCAACGGGCCTCGCCGCCACTTCCACTGGCGGCTGATGTTCGAGAGCGCTGACATCACCATGCTCCGCCTCCTGGAGGCCTTCCTGAAGTCGGCGCCGCAACTCGTCCTGCAGCTGAGCATCATGATCCACGGGAACGCCGTCCTGCCCCTGCAAGGTCAGAGAAGTGCACTGGAAAAAATTCTGTTTGACAATTTAGTGATTCCCTGTTTTGTAAAAATACAAATAATAATAATAACAATAATAATAATTAAAGTCACAGATAAACTTAAATTACATGTAATCTGTGTAAAAAAATAAAATAAAAATAAATTCAACGCTGTACATAATATCAACATCAAAAATCCAAAAGTAATTCAGTCTTTTACATTTGACAGTGAAATTATTTCTCCTGTGTTTAAAGTAACAAAAAATATGTTTTACAGACATTTGATGTTATTTAAAGGAAAGAATATGTACATTAAGGTTTTAAATATAATAAGGTGGTAAATATTGCTTTAAAGTGTTATCTAACAGGTGTTTCAGGTTTTGTTCATTTACAGTGTTTTACTGTTAAATTATGTTGCTTTTACTGTATTCAAATCAGCAAAAAAATATAATTATACAAGAAAAGTTCTGTATATTAAGGACTGAAAAATAGTAAATCATGATTTGACTGTTATTTTTGAGATTTTCCCTGTTTCCCTAAATTACACATAACATCCAGTAAAACTGCAAAAAAAAAAAAAAATATATTCCATGATTTTTTTGAACATTTTCTTTTTGTCACCCATTTTTTGTAGTTTTTTGTTCCTCCTTAACAAACAGGCCGGATACTGACAGACTCCTGAAGAAAAGCGTCATGAAGAGATAAACTGCTCATGACTTTTTATTTGTCAGTTTTCTTGCTTCCAGATCTTTTTTCTTCCCCCTGGTGCAGCGTTATTATTACTGATAAATTCATAATGAAATAAGACCCAAGTTGTTACAAAACAGAATTATTCTGTCAGAAAACTGATGCTTATCTCGCCAGAAATTACTTCTGATAAAATCCAATAAAAATAAAGTTCAAGATCTGTTTGTTCCGACGGCTTCCTCGGCAAGAGAGAGAGCGAGTGTAATGTTTAACGAAGAGCGTCTGTGTGTGCTGAGGGCAGATATCAGTGGGAGAGTCGATGCTTTATTCATGCACCTCTTACAAGAAGCAGATTGGCCTTTGATGAATAAAACAAAACACACACTTTCGCTCTCGCTCTCTCTCTCGGATACACTTTACACTTTGTGTTCGCACACACCTGGCGGCAGCAGAAGACAAGTGTCAGAAACATATTTAAATAGTACAAAACACACAGCCGACGCATAAAAACCCACAAAAACATGGTCTACAGAAAAGCTCGCAGAGTGATTCCCCGCATTTGAACAGCGTTGTTCTGTTAACAGTTCAGAGATGCAGCTGAACATCTGTGCATGCTGACTGACCGTAGCGGCTCGGCGTAGCGTGGACAGCGGCGGCGGCGCATCGAGCCAAACCAACCGGGATCTGCGTGTCTCTGCTGGAACGGCAGGAAATCTGCTCCGACAGTCACTAGAAGATCACTTTCAGAGTGTTCCTGGGTGCCGTCCTGTGTTTCAGCTCGGCTAGCGGCTCTCTGCTAATCTGCGTGGAGAAGTTCCAGCACATAGTCGTAGCCCTGCTGCTCGCTGTGGTCGATGTTACTGCACACCGGGTCCGGTGTCGGTGTCGTGACTCAAAAAGAGAAACTTATCATTCATCACCAGCTACTTTACTCAACCACAAAACCAGCAAATGTGTTTGAAGACATGTTGCT